CATAACTTATAGGTATTACATTCACTTCCATTTTAAAAGTGAATAATTCGTCTGCTTATAATCAAAATTATATTATCTATTAACTCAGAAATCCCATGGGTTCTTCATTTTTATTATGACAAAGTGAACTTGCAGGATGACCACCAGTGACCTACAGGCTGCAGTCATTTCATGCATAACTCACAAGTACTTCCTAATCATGGTTAGGACAAACTGGGCCAGTATACCACACGAGGGGAAGAGGCAGTTAGTTTTTCAGCATTTTATATTAAGTTTTATGTATTTCAGTTTCAAATGAGTAATGATCTTTTTTTCTATAAATTGCTCAGAGAAGAGGGTGCACAGATTGGATCATCAGTTCAGCTTTTTTATAAAAGAATTGACAGGCATTCTGCAGCTCCTCTTTCACCCAAACTAATATATAATACAAAAGGCTTCACTGATTATAAAGCTATATTAAGTGCAGGTCTTAACGCATGGGTCTGAATACCCTCAGGATCCCAGAAGGGGACTGTGTAGCACTCCCAAAGCAAAACAAGGGAGGAAAAGATGAGTTGTTTTTGGCTATTAAGTTTAACACCCCTGCTCAGCATAAAAATATGTATACTTCTGTATATGTATATGTTTTTGTAGATCCCTTTAGAATACTGACAACAACAAAAAATCAAACCTTAGGGTGTTTTTTTTTTTAAACTGATTATGCATGGTCACTCACTTATCTGGCCAGAACGATAGCCTTATATATTATTATTAGTTATTTATATTACCGTGGGATCTATAGGCCTCAACCAGGATTGGGGACCATTGTGCGATCATTAACACATGACTCTGTGTCAAATATATTATCTGAGCATATATTTGAGGAGCCAGATAGGATGTCACAAAAACAAACCACATTCCAAACACTGCACAAGAAAATGCCAGTTAATTTCTTCCTTCCCATTCAGAAAAATCTCTGTACAAGTCATCCCAACCCTTTGACACAAATATCTTTTCCATAGGATCATTATGGATCGTCACCCATTTTTAAAAATCTAGTAGTTTTTCAGGACTTGAAGAGGCTGATGATTGTTCTAGAAATATTACTACATGTAGCAGTTAACCCAAAATAATCCATTTTGAGAAACATCAGGTCTATGAATTCCATTTTCATCAGGTTGCCTTCCCCCCATCCGATTTTCAGGCAATGTGCACACCATCTTCACATCTACCTCCCCGCCCGCCCCCATGCACCCAATCCTTTTCAGTTTTAGTCTACTCTATCCAAAGCCTAGCTTTTTCTCACCCTAGCCATCTTTAGCCTAATTTTTCCAATGTATCTCTCTCATGCAGCTTTAGAGCGGATTCACATCTTTTCCTTTGGCTGTTTCTAGACAGACTCTTTTACAACAGTGCTTTGCAGTGCTGGAAGCATGTGTGCCAGCCTGCTTCTCTAATCCCTTTCACTTTGCACCACTTCCAGGCAATAAGCGCCAGTCCCATAGCCTGGAAAGAACAGAGGTTCAGGATAGTCACTAAAGCAGCAAGTCTCCCACTACACAGCATTTAAAGACATTTCATTCTAGATGAAAGAGGGAAATATTTAGTCAGCCGTCTAGTGTTACACCAATGCTCAAACTGCAATCTGGAAGACCCAGATTCAAAAATCAGTCTCTGGATCTCCGGCTCAGCTGAAGGCCGAGTACAATATAAAGAAGATGCAATTAGTCTCTAGGGAAAGGCTTCTGCAGATTGTCATTGGCTATGTAGAAGTCAGCACGCTCACCCTCGTGGATAAAAATAACATACTGAAATGGCAGCTGTTCAGGAAAGGAAATGGGGATAGGATTCAAGGAAGAAAAAAAATGAAACAGCCACAAATAAAAATATTTGTTATCACATTTTACAAAAATCTCATCAGGATTTTAACACTGAATCTAATAGTGAATCAATGCTATTTTCAAAATGCTTCTCAAGGATCCACCAAAAATACAAGCATTGCCTTGTTTGTATGCTTAATATTGCAAGCAAAGAACAATTGTTACACTTATTCATAAAGAAACCCAAGATTAGTAAATGTAAGACTCAATCACTAAGTAGTCATAACAGAATTTAGATTTTTTGTTTAGTTTTTGTGATTGTTATGCTGTAGACTTCCAAACCAAAAAACTACCACTATCCTGTACATCCCAATATGAAGTCAGGCTATCACTTAACCATACAGGCGTTTCTGTCAAAACCTTGAGACAATGGTCCCAACACTATGATTCCCAATCCCTAAACATATTTCCCCCCAGGTCTGAAGACTTTAAAAGGCTCACTTGGTGTATTTTAATATTTTTCCTTATTTCTGGAGTGCATTGTGCTATGAAAGGAAGAAGTAACCTGATTTAGAATACCGACACGTAAATCATTGTTAAATTTTATCAAAGAGTCAGAAGTTAGCAACGAGACCTATTAGATCATCCGGTCCATCTCCCTGCCAATCCCAGATTGTTTCCTACAGTATGTTTGCTAGTGCTCTGTCCAGTCTATTTTTAAAGTCTCAAGCAATGGAACTTCCATCACTTCACATGGAAGGCCAATCCAAATTAGTTTAAAAACACTGCCCATGAAAAGTAACCCATATAAAAACAAACTGCGTAGCTATTTTTATGGATCAACTTACATAACTGCAGGTATTAAAAAAAGGACAGCAAGACTATAAAATGGCAACCACAAGTCATATTTTAAGATTCTTACCTTCTGCTGATTCTTTTCAACATTATTCAAGCTAATTCTTTTTTAAAAGGCACATTCCTTAAAATACTACAGCAAATAAACCACTGCACAAGCCTGCTAAGCTATAATAGCAGAGAACAGGGATTTATGTACCACAAGTTTCATGTAAGTAACTTAAAAACGTAGCCCAGGAAGTACTATAAAATGGAAGCATTGTTAAGGCAAGTATATTTTTAGGGCTATTAACCTTAAAACATCAAAAAGGAATATTATAGTTTAGAGTAATATAATGTCTAGCAACTAACGAAAATACAGTAGAAAATTTCCCAGAATAATATCTGATTGATGTTGCTGTGTTCTGATTATGCAACAATACACAGAGCTTTATACCAAATATAGATGATGGTGCACTGGGGATTAACAAATCAAGCTCAAGCAAGAATTTGTAAGCATCAGAAATATACACTATTCTTTGCTGACATTTATTCCACTCTTTGAACACTTTTCACTTTAAAGTAAAGAGCCATTTGAAAACCAAAGGACTTTTTCAAAGCAGTTAAACCAATCAATCACAGTACTGTATAAAACTGCCCTTAATTACTGAACATGACAATATAGCAACCTTACTTTGTTAGAAAACTAAATTTCCCTTAAAAGCTGAATTTGGTCTGCAGCCACATCACTGTGAGCTTGTCAGATTTAATCAGCTACAAGTTGGATTGGGCCCGCCTCATAGCTGGATGAAAGGCCTCCAAGCAAACTCCAGGTGCTTAATTTAAGTGGGACTCTTGACTTTTGACTCAGTACTGAACTAAGGCGCCATTATGATGCTAAGGTATACACAGGGTACTGTGCTCTGATGGCCTGTGGGGGGGAAAAAAACCCAACAACAACAAAACCAACAAGGCCCTTGCAACTTGCTGTTATTAAAGAGTAGCAAACCTCAAGGATTATCCTGGAGTCTCCAGGAATTAAAGATTACTGTTTAATTGAAGATTATGTCATGTAATGAAACCTCCAGGAATATATCCAGCCAAAATTGGCAACCTTTTTAAAGAGCCAATGGCACTGGTACCCTTCTCCCCACGGGGAAAGTTTTTTGTTTTTATTTTTAAACTCAGTGGGAGTTTTGCCTACTTAGCACTCCCTTGTAGTTTCAGTTGGAAAGTTATTTCCTGCACTGAATTGTCATGTAGCTGCATTTCACCCCAGAGCTGGATGCAAGGACTTTTAGTATACAATCCCAAAGTACTTAACAGATGTATTAGATGAGAAGCACTACTAAAATGCAAGTCACTTCAATTAATAACACAAACCTTGGTGTTCAGGGAAATTTATTTTTAAAGACTACCATAAATCTGTGTTAGTGGCCTCAGGTCAATAACAAAAAAAATGTGCAAAAACCTTGCGGTGGATAAATAAGAGTACTCAGACAACTGTAACCCTGAGACTGAAATTGTAAGATTAGTGTTTAGCACTGACCTGCAATGAACTAAACTTCAGGGTTTTACAGCATGTGCTGCTTCTATTAAGCAATATATTAATGTGTATTAAAAGCATTTTCAGAAGACAGTTGTTTCTTTAGTCGATATTTTCAGAACACTTTCATGGGAAGCTTAAAACTCATTTCTTTTTAAATCTTTCACTTGCAAAGTATACTGTTCCTATATATGTAAGCATCTCTCATTCCTGAGAGACAGCACAAGAATGTTCAATCTTTACTCTGGAGAAAGTATTGCATCAGGAGAACCTTATAATTCAAAAGGGAAATGGACATAATTACGCAAGTGTGTTGCATAGTCAATGGAAAGACTACTTGAGACAAAGAGTTGTGATGAAATAGCTTAGTACTCATATTAGACACTGGGTTAGTTAAATAAGTACCGAAGACGTATTTTTTGCAGAGACAGAAGAGCATATGTGGCTGAAGAGGGAAAACACTGTCAAGTAGGTTGGTATGTTTTACCTATCTGAATAAGATTCCAGAAACTGGGAATTTAATTTTTACATGCTGCGCATTTAAAAAAAAAAATCAACACAATTCAAGCCAATTACACAAAAGAATGCCTTGTGCTTCCATTTTGTAGTGTCCTTGATCAAGACATTAGACACACAAAGGTGCTCACTTGCATTGACACCTTCGTCTCTTGACAGAGAAGGAAAATGAGGCCTAGATGAGTTGACCAACATGCAATATGCAAATCATACTTAGTTGTTCTAACAAAAGACAAGTTTTGTATCCTGCCCAAGCACATCATCCTAATTATTTACTGCAGGAAACAGTCACCTTCTAAATTTACCTTTCAGTGAATCATTTTCAGCTCTCATTATGTCAATCAGCGAGTTCTCCAGTGAATGCATGTCAAAAGTTCTTGCGCGATCCTGCAAGTAAACACAAACAAAGTCAGTCAATTTAGACAGCAAAATGCTATCCAAGGCTACCTCAAATATGCAGAAGTTTCAACTCCACCCTACGTCATTAGATCAGAATTAAACATATACAATGAAATTATATTTAAAGTAAAACTACAAGACTCTTGGGCTTTTATTGAGTAACAGTAAATACATATCTGAAGTTTCAGTTTTGCATTAGCAACACCATGAACAAAATATCTGATAACAAATCAAAGTACAGTTTTACTCCTAAAAAAGCCTCATTGCAAAAAGTAGTTTTTAAAACATTTAATTAAAATAAGACAGCCTGTATTAAAGCTCACTGCAAAGCAATCTCTTTTTTAAAAAACAAAAAAACAATACGTTTATCGTACGGACACTGAGCATTTATTTTGCCAGCCATAGAAATACAGTCAGAACTGATACTGTTAAGAGGCCAAGAAAATTTGGGTTGCTTTATGTTTGTTTTACGAAAGAAAAGTAATGTAAGATAGGAGTGTTCAGGTATATTTTAGAGTTGGCTGGAAAATGGAAAAACAAATGACACAAAAGTTTGTTTTCCTTCTTCATCAATTTAGTTTCCATTGACGTTTTCAGGCCAGCTGAAGTCTGGAGGCTGAACTACTCCAAAAAATTTGCCAAGTTTAATACTCTCCACCCTCAAATAAATCCTGTTTGAAGCAATGAAACGAATTGCAATTTAAGACCCCAGTTCAAGAAAGCATCCTTGTTAAGGAAAGCACTTACCAGTTTAAACTATGCTATTACAATACAATGGATGTTAATCCAGTGCTATACAGTTATTTGTCATTTCAGAGTCTGCACAATTAAAATTGAAGTTCACAGAATTCCATTTACTGCAAATATTGGTGCCAAACAGCCTCGTTTTTTGGTAAAAAGTTAACATTTTGTACTTTAAAATTTCACTCTCTACACCCAGAACTTTGCAATTTTAAACGAACACTTAAAAACAAAGCACTAGACAAACTTTAGAGACAAGTTGACTTGTATACATTACCATCACATCATCTTGATCCATTTGAAGTAAATTTACCAAGGATTTCTCCTTAGCATCATCCTTTAGCATATTTCATAGGTCACCCTTTCTTGACTAAAACAGCCAATGCTCAACTGACGAGAAGATCAAAGTTCACACATCAAAGCCACCTCTCTGGTTATCCAAGTTAAAAGTAATGTATGTCATTTACGTAGTAACAAACCAACACCAAACACTTTGGCCAAGCATTATGGTTCTCAATTTCTTGATTTTAGTGTCTATATTTAACTTTCATGTTTCAATAATAGAGTCTTGCAAAATTACAAGTGTTCACTAGTCCAGGCACAACATATATTGCCCCATGATTAAATAATTGAGTCATCACCAAAAAAAGTTTCCCCACAATCACCCCCTCCCAAGGAAACAGGCAAGTAGAATTTTGCTAAACTGCATTAACAGACATTGCATTTAATTTCTGTGTTCAAAAAGGAGACCACCTCTAATCCCAAGTGTTATATTTTGTTCACTTTCCAAGAGAGATTCACCTTTAACCCAAAACCAAGACCAAGTGCGGAAAGTTTCTGCCCATAAAGAAACAAGAAAAGTTATAAGCAACTCTAGATAGGAGATTAGAGTAAACTTGTATACAACTATATCAATTATTACCCACCAATGTAGGTTTCTCTTTACATCTAGATGCGAAGCTAAACTTTTGCAAGTAAGTAGAGCCAGATTTGCTCAGTATTTGGATGAGAAGTTTAAAAAAAAACACATAATATGGTGCTGTATATTCAATAACTGATATTTTCATTTGCCTCAATATTGAAATACTGCTGCCATTTTGGCTGGGCACTATATTGCAGGAGAGTCAATCTTTAAATGAGAAACTGGTCATGGCCTTTTGTGGTCATTAAATACTCCGTGGTATTTTAAGAGTAGAAGTGGTTGGCTCTGGTGTCCTAGCCTAATTCCTATTTAGTAAGTCACATTCCTACCAAAAACAAAATAGTAATTTTAACTGGGAATTTATTTTTCACTTCCCCCTCAAAATAAAAACCACCCCCAAAACCCACAACTTTGTGTGTTGCTGCCACAGAATGGTTCAAGTACTCCTCTCCAGAGGCAGCTCATTACAGTAGCATGTAGATGATCCTTACAGAAAGTATGGCAAAAAGGCGAAGTTAGCTGTACTCCGGTCACTAACAGGACAGAAACATTTACCATACTAATATGGCCAAAATTCAATTTGCTGTGTATCTGCCTCATCTTTTCAGTGTTTATTTTTCTCACTAACCTGTATTACAAGACAGCACATGTATCTACCAAAAAATACTAATTTAGGAACATTTGGTTCCTTACACTTTTTCCCTCCAGCTTCACATTTGTTTCTTCTCCCACTTGTTTCTTTCCTCACTGGTTCTTTTAGTTTCTTGATTTGATATTTTTGCCCCTGGTTCCTATAGATTTCAAAGTCTAGTTATAATTCTAACTCCTCCAAGCCCTGGTCTGCACTACAAACTTATGTTGGTATAATTACAGCACTCAACAGTGTAGAAAATCCACACCCGTGAGTGACAGTTACACTGACCTAACTCCTGGTGTAGACGTGCCATATCATCAGGAGGGCTTCTTCCAGCTCTTCTCCCTCTCAGGGATGTGGAGTACCTAGGCCGACAAGAAAAGCTTTCCCGTCAGCCTCTTCACTAAGCACTACAGCAGTGCAGCTGCACTGGTGCAGTTGTGCCACTGCAGCACTATATAGATAAGATACTAGATAAGCCTTACATTTCCATGAAATCAATTTGAATAGTTTACAGAGGTAAAAAGGTGTTCCTTATCCTTATTGACTTGAATGGGAATAGGTATAATCCATGCAAGTCAGAAATGACTAAAGGCAGACATTATCTCTAAATTTTCAAACTGTCTGTATTGCTTCCATTCAGGACTGTTTTTGTTTGTGTGGGGGTGGGGTTTTTTTAGGGGGAGGGGGACTCTTTGTTTTTAAATGTATTGTAGCACTTTCCAATCTCTCAACATTTCTCACTATGTATTTCTTTCTGTTCTGTACCTTATTTCGTTTTTTGAATCTCTCTTTAGCAATAGATCTAGAACTCAGCCTCACCAATATTGAAGCAGCTGGAAGCTCCCTTGTGTGCATCTGCCACTGCTCCTATCTCACAACAGGGGGAGCATGGAATTTCAGGAGCTTGCAGACCCTTCAGCTGCCACGCTGTCAATGACATCTCAGTTATCTGGCAAACATTTAATGGGAAGAATACTGCCAGGCAGCTTCTGTATGTTATTTTGCATGCAATGCTGCCAACAAACCGTAGGGTCAGCCCCAAAATAACTTCTCTCCCCTAAATTTTTAGTGTTGTGCTGAGATTAAGTTATATTATTGAATGTCACAGAGAGGGATTTGCATTCATCAGTTGGAATGTGAGTGGGGGGGGGGCAGTGTTTGGCATTCAGAACAGAGACAGTATTTAATCATATATAAGGGAGAAGAAAGAGGGAATAAACTGGAAATTCCCTCAAAGGGACAACTAGATTCTTTAATGGAAATTTTCCCTGAGCCTGCTCACTTTCTACCTGTTCCATTTTTAATGACATGCCCCATTTATTCTCCCCCTTTACGATACATGATTTTTTAATGAGGATATCCATGTCTTATAAGCTCAGCTTCCCAAGGTTCCCCACCCGCAGTTCTAAACCATGCTCATCTTGATTACCAAATAAAGTTACGTGGCTGTGTTCCCATTGGTAGCCACCATTAATGGATTATTCACAATGGAAGGGTGCAGACGATTCTGAAACGTTCAGAGCCTCATCCTCGCCACCCTCTCGTGGTTCCAGTCGTACCTAGATGACGGAAGAGTCTGGGTGATACAAAATGCTGAATTCCAAGAGGCCCTTATCCTCCACATTCAGTCATATGTCACGATGAGATTTCTAAACAATCTAGAGCATTCTCAATATACAACTGATAAGCAATTTTTTTCTCAGGCCTGAGGGAATGCCTAATGGCCTAGTCAGCTTAAGGCACTGAGTTGCCTCAGCCTCAATCCTGGGAAAACACAAGTCTTGCTACTGGGACATTTGAAAAAATTTGCTCCTCGGGGTCCCTGCTTATTGAGGGCATTCATTAAAAGGCCACAAACCAAGTTAATATGCATCTTAGCATCATGTGCCTGCCACAAGCACCACTTATTAGTGAAAATGTAGAAGCTAGACCAATACTCTACTCTAGTTATCATAATCTAAGTTGCTCAGTTACTATGGTGGCAAGCCCAGTACAAATACTTTATTTCATGACATCTGATGCTATTGTCCAATTGCAGAATTTAAGCAGACTATGTCCCTATTTATACTATGACACACTCACAACAGCAACCCATGTTTCCTGAGTGCTATTTAATTGCAATTTTCTTTCAGCATGACTTTTCAATCACCTGCAAGACATTCAAAACGCAGCATGTCATTTGCCAGTTTGCACAATTATGAGCATTTTGTCCACCCTGTATTATGTATTATTTACCGTACATTGGGTAGGATAGACTAGCCTAGAAATACACATAGCACCTTGAACCCAGAGGGCAGCAACAAGGCATAAAACCAGAAAAGCAGATTTATCCCTGAAGTGGATAGAGCAAATATTTTATTGATTTACTTACTTTTTGGAACTACTGGGTGAATCCCAGTACTTTGTTTATTCAATCAATTGTAGATGGTGCCTATTCTGAAAAGAACAGATATCACAGGGCTCCCAGATTCCTGAATAGAGACCTAAATCTGTGCTGACTACTCTGAAACCTCATCAATTTTCAGTGAGCTTGCACAGTGTTTATATCAGCAAATTTGGTTCACTGTGCAGAGAGGTCCATTAACAATTTGTCAGGCTAAGTATCAGGATAGTACAATGGCCTGAAGAGAGACAAGCACCATGAACACATTTTTATTTTTAGTAGAATTTCTCTATTAAGATATTCGA